ATTCCACAGGCCTTTTTTAATTTCAGGGATTTTATTAATTTCTGAACGTCACATGGTCTGATCCTTAGAGGGGGGGGGGTTCATCCACGGCTTCCAGCAGAGCTTGAACTCTAGCCTCCACCCGCTCTTCATGGTTTTCATCGCACAGGTCATGCGGCGTGAACTGAATTTCCAAGCAGTCGGCAATTTCGTTGGCTTTTTCAAAAGGATGAAATTTTAGGCCAGAAGAACCATGAATGGCAGTTGGTGCCCTTGGTCCGTCTCTCTGAAGGAGAGATTTCGCAATGGGCCATATACACTGTGGTGTGACTTCAGCGTTGCTTATTTTTGCTTCCCACCGTTCAAGTGCCTTTTTACGGGTCATTCGCCTGATTGATTTGGTGACCCAATTGACTGCCGTTTTCCACGCTGGATCCCTGGTTTCTTGCCACAGTTTTCGTAGCCTATGTTTATATTTTATCAAACGATCTAGACCAGGAAGATCGTTGTTTATGTCCAAAAGCGTAACTTTACTTGTCGACAGCCTATATGCTGAAGCAATAGAGGCTGCAAAGTCGCGTGGCGCTTTATCGGTTTCTACCCCCGAATTAATTTCTAGTTTAGGTGATATTAATTCAGAAGCGAGGCTTTGAAACCGCTCCCAATCTGTAAATTTTTCAATGGGTTCCGAAAGATTCCTAATTTAGTGCTGCTGGGTTGGAGCTGCGCCTTTTTATATAAAGCGTGATGGAGGAGCGAAAATTTGCTGAGCGGTGATTGGCTAGCGCATATAATGACTAGACAGTGAGTGCAGTATAAACGTGAGCGTTGGAAGCAATTTGATTGGTTAGCGCGCGTGATGGTGAAAAGTGAGCGCTGTAGAAATAGCGTGATAATATGTGGGATGTTCCCACAATGTCTTGTACGAGTAGTAATTTTTTTCATGCTTTCCTCATTTCACCCATGTGTGCTGCATGTGTAGATTTCCAACATCCTTGATTTATTACCCTAATATTATAGTGTAATGAATAAATTGTGAATCGCCTATTTTGCAATTTTTGTTCCCCATCTTGATCCTCTTTTAGGCCAGAATATTCATACAGCTTTCTTCTGAAACTGTGCTGAACTGTGTTTTTGCCCAAGCTTCAGACTCGTGTAAAATTGGAGATATAAATTGAATGTTATCTTTTGTGTATATAGGATCTTAAATGATCCTGAATTGAAACAAAATTTAATCTATGTTTCACTTTCGTTGTGAATGTAATTTTAATTTGTTATTGTCATTCCTAAGACTTGAACGTTATACACGTTCAAAGGATCTGTTTGCTACCCTTGTATTAAATTTTGTTTCGCATTCTGGTGACAAGACGTGATCACATACTTATGTTCCTCTGTGTTAATAATTTCCGCACGAAACTCCTCAGCATCCAACAGAAATTCTTTAGTTCTCTAAAGAGTACTTATATTTCCCACATCTAATTTATTATGACTCTTGTGATTATTTTATGTTTTCACAAAAACCAATCCCTCGAGTGAGTAGATGAACGTAGTTAACGAAGTATTGCACGTGGACATTGTCATAAAGAGTTTGAAGAACACAGAACGGTGGTATAAAAAGTGTTGTAAAGAGATACCGAGGTAAAGTGTAGCAGTGTTTGTCACATTAGTTGACACCAGTGACACCAGGTACAGGTGAGTGTTTGGCTTCAAACGTTGGTATCCTTTTCCTATTAGAACGTATCAGATAGAAGGCTGTGTTGTCCCATTCGCCGTGACCATTTTTTTATGATTGTGACCACATGCTTTTCCTTTCAGTACATAGGTCTGCATGACAACGGGAGCGACAGGTGCGGAAGAGTGAATAGGAGTTATTACAGGGACATATGTCGATCACAGGGACAAGATGTCCACTACCAAACAGCATCAGGCGTGCAGACGTAGCTATTTGGAGGTCAGGACCGACCAGGTGATGTCTACACGATCGGGAAAGACACAAAACAAAGTGTGGCGCAGAAGCTCGGAGGGCAGGATATACGGAGAATTCACGCACCCTGGAATTGGAGAGTTGCAGCCCAGAGTATGGAAGAGAGAGTTGAAGTCGAACAATCATAACGGCGGTTCACCCTCTGGATCCGCAGCGTCAGAACTCGGAGAGGGGCAAAGTGGCTCAAGGGATCAGATCTACAAGAAGGTTGCATTTCCCAGATCTAGAGTTTTGCAACACGAAATGGGCAGAAGCGGCTCAGAGTATAGCACAGTCCGGGAGGGTGCTCACACTGGACCTGGATCGTCACAGCTCAGACTAGTGCGAAGTGTCTCGGAGAATAGGGCACACAAGGGTGGCGCGAGCCCCTGCTCTGGAGCGTCGCATGACAGACTGAGGCAAAGCGGCTTAGAGGACAGTAAAGTTGTGGGTGGAGGCAAAGTGCCGAATACATACATGGGATGGGTGAATGCGGCAGTAGTGGTGAAGCTACTGGCTCAACTCTTTGAAGGCTACGTGGACACAAAAAAGGCGTCAGACCTATTGCAGGTATGTAAGCCTGAGTTCCTGCAGGAGCTCAAGGAATTCATCCACACTGCTTCACCGGATACAGCTTTTTTGAGCAACTTCGCAACCTTCTGCTTCAGCGCCTTTATCTCTCTACCGAGCAGCGTATGCGTTCAGTTCGAGCACACGCTAATGGCTTCCCTTTCGGCGGTGGAGAAGTCTGAGAATGTTTTACTTAAGGACCGATTCGCTAGGCTGCGGGAGAAACTGACTGAACACGTCTGCAGGAAGCAAGAATTGGACGTCAGGATGACCTTTCAGAACTTCCGATTTGTACCTGTGTTGCCGGTACGGGCGGATGAATTTTTCTTATCACCGGATGGGACAGTTGCTGTAGAATCCAGTGCAGAGCAGAGATACTTGTCGGAGTTATTCTTTTCCCAGTATGAAGCCTTCATAGGCCGTATTCGCGACGGCATCAGGAATTTTCGAGACACGGAGGGCACGTCACTTCGGCTGCCAAGTGTGATGCACTTCTACAGGGGAGTGAAGTTCTTGAGACCAGTTGTTTTGAACGATCGCCTGTGTCTGGTTACGAGCCTCACCTCTGTGGGCTGTCACAGTACTGGAACACTAGTCTGCTTCAGTTGCGATGGCTTTCGATCACTTCTTTTCGGCATTGTTGAGTGTGCCGACAGCTGCTTCGCTGTGCGACCGTGTGGAGAGATGCAGCAAATAACTAAGCAGTTGTTCGAGCATGAGTACGTGATGGCCGTGAGTGGGCTTTGTGCACAACCTTCGGTCAGCGTGCTGTTAGCACTCCAGCAGTTAAAGGCGGTGCCCTTGCGGAAGTTTCTAGTAGAAGGCGTGCAAATACCTGGCCGCAAACAGTGTATACAGGGGCAGTCGGACCTGGACCCATGGCAGCGTGAGGCCCTTGGTCATGCCCTCGCCCAGGATGTATGTCTGGTACTAGGTCCCCCTGGTTCGGGAAAGACGCGTGTTGCTTGCACAGTAGCTCGTAATTCGAGGTTCCCAGTCCTCGTATTGTGCGAATCTCGCAGTGGACTGGATATTATCCTGCGGCACATGGCACCCCTCAGCGTCGCATGTCTCAGCGACAGGACAAACCATCAGCGTAACCAGCAGAGGAGGGAGATATGGGCACGAAGGAGGGATGTACTGGTGGACCTTAGGAAGTTGGAACTTGATTTAGCCCTGCTGGCCAGAAAGGATGGCGTGGTAGCGCTGTCATCGCTCCGGGAGGGCGGTGTGGTATGCGATGCCCACTACAGTAGTTTCCTGCGCCAGCCAGACACCAACAGCGTTTTCTACAGTTGGCTTGTAGAGGAGGCGAGCCCCCCTAACGCGCCTCTTCCATATCGTGGCCTTGTCCCGTTCTGTGACGACACCCCCCACACTAAAGACACCTTGTCCACTATCCATCCCTCACTAAAGTGGGCAGAACGATTGGAAAACGTGGAAAAAAAGCGCTCTGAGATGAACACTAATATCAGCAGTTTGCAGGAGCGGTGGGGGCGCGGAGAGGATGTGATACAAGAGATTAATGGTCAGAAAGCGTTATACCGACTTCAAGCTTTTAAGTTGAAGCGGCTCAGAACACGGTTGGCAGAGACTTTGCCGAGCGATGGATTGAGAAACTGCTCTGATGTATGGAAACTGAGACCGGTTGGACGCTGGGGACTGTACATTGCATGGGTGGTAGCACTGCGCGCACGGCTGTTGGAGAGGTTGACACATCTGCAGGACAAGCTTGCAGTGGAAGACAGGAATCTTGAAATAGTAGATCAGTGTATAGACCTCGAGAATGCTCAACAGGTGGCGGTAGTTGGAGCAACAGCAGAGGAGGCCACAAGGTTGAGTTCCTTACTGGACAAGCTGGCGCCCAAGACGGGTATGTTGGAACTTGTAATGTCAGCCCAGTTTACATAACCAGAACATGTGTAGACGCAGTTTAGTCTAATGGGGAAAGTTGTATCTTATCTCCAGGAGCTTGATCGGTCAGTCCGAGTGTCGGGATGACACTTGAAGATGGTGGAGCGGAATATTACTTCATGGTCGGTTTGGGTTGTGAGTAAGGCGTCATTATGGGGTGCAATACCAAGATAGCTTTTCGGTTTAGAACAAGTTTTCTTAATGTAAAAGGTTAATATGTCCTTAATTAAGCATTGCACCATGAAAGCATGTGGAAGAGTGGGGTATAATGTCACCATTCTTGACCTGGGTACTAGGTAGGTTGAGTGGTCGGCTTCACACCCCTTCTGCTTTACCCTGAAGGGAAAGAGCTCCCGGTACCTATTGGATAAGAGGATAGGTCACCCCTAGAGCCAGTCTAGATGCTGTGGAGAAGAGAACAAATCTCCCTTATCTGGAATTGAACCCCGGCCGCCAGCTTGTAGCCTGTTTCTATACTGACTGAGCTATCAGTTAATGTTACAAGTCATGTGTAAGGCATACAATTGTAACAGAAACATGTAGTTAGCGATAATGTGGCCATAGTTCATTGCGGGACTGAAGAAGGAATAGCGCAGCATTTCCCCCAAACTGGGTGCTGACTCATTTACATGGACGTTGGTGGCTGATCACGGGAAAGAGACAGACATTGTGTTCAATAAGGCCAACATTGTCATGGTCCCCAGCACATTAAAAAGTTAGATGACATTTAATGAAATTCTGATGCGAATAGTAATATTCTTAGTGTAATTACATCATTTCAGGAAGATTGTTAATTCCATTTTATATTTTCATGAGGTGTTGAAGGTAAACATGGAAACGTGACAACACCATGAATGTGGTGTATTGTATGATGTGTCTCCTGTCACTATCCCACTATGAGTCATGTGGCGTTAACAAAAGAAGTGTCATGGATCAGTGTAATTTGATCCATATGGTAGCATGTGAAAGTTCTGTGCGCTGAGATCTTTTTATCTTCAGGTCTCATTACCTTACTTCTGCAGTAAGGTGTGCGATTCAGTGCCGAGGCTTTATAGCCGAATCCTTCATGAGAAAGGAATCTTAGAAAGTACATTTGAAGGTTTTAATTTGTAAATACCCACAAGTACTAGTTTGCAAGAAGGTGTGCTTATAGAAATTTGTTAAATTGTGGTGGCGCATGCCTTCAGTTTGTGACAAAAGAGGAAACAGCCCAAGAGTAGCAGACTGGAGCTAATGCTAACTGAAGGAAACGCGCTCTAGCAGTTCATTCGTATAAAATAGAGCAATGTAACTAGAAAGGGCCAGTGTCAAATGCAGATGAAATGTCTGAATGGTCATGCACCAAACAGCAGTTACTTAATCATAAACAGCAGACATGCATCTGAGTAGAACATGAGTAGTAGCATGTTTAGTATGTTGCTTTTCCTTCTACATTTTATCCATGTGTCATTGTGACATTTATGAAAATGACAGTGGAAGCTAACATAACAGTTCAGCTTATGGCTACATATTTAACTTTCCTGGAAAGAGAGGCAGAAGGAAATGGCCAGGGGAGATGAAAGTTGTAGCTCAGGATTAGGATCGAAAGAAACAATGTGGTGATGTCACAGGCAGGAGATGAAAAGGCAGAGAAGACAGAGGCATGCAGTGGTTTTGAAGTGCTGCATTGTCCAACCAAAAAGAATTCCCATTCTCCATTCACATTAATATAAGTCATGATGACATAATTTTCTGACCCAGTTGTTGTCCAGGTGAAAGGTATTGTGTGTTATCCCTCATAGAGCTGAGCCTTTCTTGAGAAGCATTTTATTGAATCTGAAGGTTCATTACTGTGTTCACAAGAGCCCTCCACTGGTCCCTATCCTGAGCCAGATCAATCGAATCCATACTATCCCATTCTTTATCTCATTTCAAAGACTTTGATTACTTTGCTTCTAAGAATGAATAGCACTGTGAACTCTTTTATGAACTGTTTAAGAAGGAAAATGTTGTTGCCAACATCCTGTGTGAAATAACAGTGAATGCCATAAGCGAGAGCATAACATTGAAGGTTCATGTTATCACTGAATGACCTAAAAATTAATTCAGAGCTAAATTATGATTTTCATTTTATTTGAATGAATTAGTATTTTCACTGCAAAGCAGTCTGAGCAACTGTTATTGTAAATGCTAAGCAGTATTCATTTTTCTTACTATATGTAACTTTAATAATGACAAAACTGCAAATGTTACAAAAGAAATACATTTCCTCCTTACCTAATGAATCATGTGTGTTCCACATGCTTATTGTTGTTTAAAAAGGATAATTTTTAAGTAACATTTATGAGAAAACTTTTTTGAATATATTTTTGTTAATTGTTGTAGGTCTTTGTTATCTTGTATTGTGCACCACTTCCAGAAAGGTAAAGTCAAATGTGTAAACTAATATTGATGACTATGTTATAATGAAAGGACTTAATGAGGTTATTATAATTACTTTAGGAAGTAACATCCAGAAACTTTGCAATACTAATCATTTAGTCATTTATGTAAATATAAAATGACACTGTGATGTTTCAGTGATTGTGGATGAGGCTACGAATATCACAGAGGCTCAGCTAGTGACATGCCTCCCACAGTCTTGCCAAAACCTTGTGTTACTAGGTAAGTGTATCCTGTTTACATTCAAAATGGTTGTACAGAATGGAGTTGCATATGCTCACAATGTCTGGTTGTTTCAGGAGAACCAGGCCCTTTTCAGGATACTGTAAGTTGTCAGAAGGGGCAGTCGGTGAGTGTATATGTGTTTCTACTCACACTTGTTCACTATATCCATGATTGAATGTTGTGAGGAAGTAGTTAATAAATGAATGTACCAAAACTGGATTTTATCAGTGTGGTTCACAAAACACTCTATTGCTTACATTCTTTTGGTCTTCCCTTCATGAACTATGCCTTGCTGTCTATAATCAGACAAAAAATAAACCGTTTTGTTTCAGATTATTTTGAGAAGGGGAGTGACAAGTTGAAACCAAAACCATCCTTTGAAGGTTATGTAATAGCACTAGAAGTATTCTTAGTGTTGAATGATAAGATTGAGGGATGAAGCAGTTTTAGCCTACTTAGGTAGACTATCTCAGCATTCACCTGTAGGGACAGAAAAATTGCAAAGATAACTTGTCTTGAGGCTTAGACCTGAAGCTCACATTAGGCCTACAAAATGATGGTAAGGTACATTACTGTTTGAGCTGTCTTGGGTCTGCGTATGGATGTGACTGGTCCTTGACACCATATGCAAGCAATGTGTTACCAGTCTGTATTGCTTAGCAACTACTTTAGAACATAATTTACACCTCATATGGCAGGATGTACCAGACATAATACAGTGATCATGCTTACTGATATGTATGTTGTAATGTTCACACATTTTCTGGAGCAGTTACAATTTGTTACAATGTTGTCTCAGTTTGCTATAGTTTATTAATATTACATTTTCACATCTGCTAACATGCTTCTGAGAGTATGGAACTCGCTGCCTGCTTTTCACAGCATGTACTGTTTCATCACACACAAACTTTGCACTTCACTGCTAAGTACAGACTCAATTTTTCTGCCAGTCCTTGGCTCACAACTATGGTTTATGCGCTATATTTATAGAGTAGTCCAGGGCAGTTCACAGATTGCCACAGAAAATGTATGCACGCTTTGTTAAGTTACATTTCAACAGGAAAAGTAGACAGATGTTAACCCATTGTTGTGCTGTTACCTTAATGTCACAAATGTATAAAATGATCACTACCAGCACCAGTACACTATCAACAGTAGTGCTGAAGAGAGCGTCATAATTCTTCTAGTGTTGCTGGTGGAATAACAGTATAGCAGTTTCATACTATAGGTATTACAGTGTTCTTGGTTTTTTGGTATATACAGCATTATTTATCGATTACTGTCAGTTGACACAAATGTTTGTATGTATTGGGCCACAGAAAATCCAAACATAACAGAAGAACTCACAGTTAATTTGCTAGGTATGTCAGTGCTGTACAGTATGTCATCCACAGTGATATGATATTAGGGCTATCTCTCTTTGAAGCAACTATCACAGGTACTGCTTGTTACTTTCAACATGATGGTGTCCCACCACATTACCACAAGGATGTGAGATAGTTGCTTGAGTTCATTTCCTCAAGATGGATGAGAAGAAAGGAGTGTGGAGTATCCACCCTGATCTCCTGACATGACACCATAAGATGGTTACATGTGGGGTACTCTAAAGAACACTGCAGGTCCTGAAGCACAAAATTGAAATTTCCTGTGCTTCTATTCTGCCAGCAATAATGCAATGGTGCTGGTGGTGTTCAGTTTGAAGATTAGTGAATTTGTAGTAACCAGCATAGCACTGGGCCAAGATCTATCAGCTTTAAAGGTAAGGTACTGGTAAAGTTGTTCTTGTGCTTAAATAATTATGCACTATGCCATGAAGATGTATGGATTAATGGAGCTATAGCTCCACCTTTCATCACCTCATCATTAGGTGCAGATACGTGGTTAGCTTCACACACACTTACAGCTTTACCCTTGTGGAAAGATCTCCTGGTACCCATATAATAGGAGGCAGGTTGGGCCCTGAGCTGGCCAGAATGTTACAGAGAAGATAAAAATCTCTTGTCCATGCCAGGAATCGAACCCCAGCCATTGAGCCAGCAGCCCATACTGACTGAGGCATCCAATCCATTCACTTTACTTGTTAAAATATGTTACTAAAGTGTGTTTACTTTTTTTGGCCACATTGTAGAGAGATGAGGCACAGAGTTTCTGGTTGTTGCTGAAGAGAAGGAAGTCTGGGAAGTTTGGGGGCAATGTGCGCATTCACTGTGATTCATGTGACCCCCCCCCCACACACACAAACTCAGTCTGCACAAAAATATTAAAATGGATCATTAAAGATATGCGGGAAGCTGTGAGCATGCAAACTGGGTGAACTGGTTCGCAGTAAGGTCCTGTTTCAGCGAGTGGGGAGTGCAGTGTTGAAAGTTGTATTTCCAGGGAATTATTTCAGTTATAGATTTTAACAATTTTTACCAACAGCAAGAATGTTTTTAAAATGAAGATAAATTGCAGAGTAGATTTTGAATTTTTTTTATATTTCTCTTCATATTTTAATGAGTTTTATTATGCTTGTAAACATAATGAACTACTCATATACGAGTGACAACCACCATTATCACTTGGGGAATGGCTGTGCTAATTATGTGAGCAAATAGCATTAGTTGCTGCTGAAGTAACACTTATTTCCCATTTTAACATGTTTTGTTAACTAGAATTCAACATACATGAAATGGCAGGGGTAGAATTTAGCAGTAGGGTTTAAGTGATATTGCATAATGATTATTCTTGAAAAGTAGACAGTTTGCCTGTGGTGGAAAATGAAGGGGTCAAAAAATCTGCTCTAGCTGAATTTATTTTACAACATAGTATAATATTGTACAAGAAATTAATTCTCTTCATGATTGTAACATGTTGTAACATATTTCCTATGGAATTTCGTACTTTTCCTGCCAGTACTGGACAAGAATAAAGAGTTTTCTGATCTTGATTCCCAGATATGTGTTCAAATTTTTCTGATCATGGATTGAAACCATTACCCTTACCAAAGATAAATCTTTGGGAACGTGAAGCATACATGTCCCCCATGCATGGTTCAGACCTCAAAGTAACTGAGTTTTTGCTGCTGATTTTCATTCTCATGATCTCCCTGTCACTGGGGGTAAGGGAATGTGCCCTGTTGGTTACTTTGCGAATCAGAGGTATTGCATAATAAACTGTCCAACATCACCATGACAGGAAATAACTGCTGAGATGTGCAGCTGTATATATTCTTCTTGTCTGCCTAGGCCCACTTGCGCAGTCTGGTTCACAGACTGGTTGAAAAAGGGATGGCTGCCTCTGAACTGAAGTCGCAACACCGCATGCAGCCACAGGTTGCAGAACCCATCATGTCAGCACTGTATCCTGTTCTGGAGAGCTGCAACAGTACTACTAATGTGTGTACAGTAAAAGGTGTCAGCCAGAACGTGTTCTTTATCACCCATGAGCATCTGGCCGAAAAGGTACAAGCCTGCATTGTAGGATGATTTCACACTCCGTCTGTAGTATACATCCCAGCTTTTATAATTATGTCTGTTTTTCTGGGTGACTTCATGTAGTCTGGTACATTTTTAGTCATATATCATATGAACGTTCTACCTTCATCATTAGAGTAGATCACTAACTCCATGCTGCAGGTCTTCCTTAAGCAGTTTATAGTTACCCAACTGGTAAAGATATTTCCTGTTTTGATATCTATGCTGAAGATAGAGACAGCATGTTTCTTCGAACCACTGATGAACTTTTACCATTCTACATGGCATCACATCTCAGAGGACAGTATTCTGAATTTTTTTAATGACTGTCATATTGTAATGAAACTGAGTATGACCTTCATAATGTTGAAAGCAATTATCATGTATGGAGGAAATGAGAATGCATACAGAATTCTGGTAGGAAGATTTAGAGGGAAGAAATAATTGGGCATACCTAACTGAAGATGGGATGAAAATATAAAAATAAATCTTTAAGAAATACCATTTGAAGTTTTTTTTATTGATAATCTCCCTGTACATTGAGGCACTTGTCCTATCGCTTCACAAGCCCCTGAAAACCAGCAGCATAAAATTCTTTGGGCTGCTATCGGAACCAGGCGGTAACTGGGATCATGAAGGCATACTGCCCACCGCATTCCAGCCTCAAGGACAAACTGTAAAGCCGACTCCTACTCTAATATCCTCAGGAAACTTCGTAAGGCCATTCAACGGAAGCGACCAGGACTCCTCACCAAAGGCGTGTTGCTCTTGCATGACAACGCGCGTCCCCATACTGCCAGCAAGACAAATGAGACGCTGTGAAATTTCACGTGGGAAGTCCTTGAGCATCCTCTGTATAGCCCCGACCTTGCTCCAAGCGACTTCATTTGTTAGGCCCTCTTAAATATCATCTTTCGACTGAACATTTTCCCAACGATGAAGCTGTAGAAAGGGAAGTCACTGCCTGGTTCCGACAGCAGCCCAAAGAATTTTATGCTGCTGGTTTTCAGGGGCTTGTGAAATGATGGGACAAGTGCCTCAATGTACAGGGAGATTATTTTCAGAAATAGAAGCATTTTTCAAATCAGTACTCTTATTTGTTTAAGTTCTATATCCATTTGTAACTTACTTATTGACTTACTCTCATATTTCACAGAATATTTCTGAATACCAACTGTATGCACATTTCAAAAAGCAGACAACTGTGATACCATTAATAAAAATGGGGACATTAAACGTCAGGAAGATTGTAGAGGTATCATATGCTGGCTGTAAAATATATGCCAGTATTAAAAAAAAATACAACAGTAATACAACTGGAGAATAAGTAGATGGTATAAATGGAGATCCTGTTGTGATGGATATTTCTCTCAAAAACTCACTGTGAAAGAACACTGGAAATTCATTATAGTGTTCCTTCTCCTGTCCTCTCCTTCTAAAAAATCTCTTCCATACCCCATATGTCCTAATATAAAATATGCTCCTTCTTCTGTCATGTCTGTATGTGGAACATTTTCCTTCTTCATTTACGTTTGTATGTGGAATATGTTCCTTTCCTTCCACTCTAACCGTCTAGTGCGTTAAGGCCCTTTGCGTTGGGAGCCACTCCTTCTCTCCGTCCTTCTCTGGCAGTCCTCTGAAGAGCCCTTTACGTTGCTGGTTGCATCTGCTCCACTAGCCGTTCCCTCTCACCTGTTGTTACTTCGAATTGGCAGGTTGCGGCTGCGTCCTTCCTATCCAGTTTCCCTTTTTGTTGTTCTGGTGGATAATAGTTTGTGGGTTATGGGTTATCGGTGTGCTGGGCGCCAGTAAGCTTACTGTAACGGCTTACATTTCGGGGAAAAGGGGGGATGAACTGGAAACTACAGGTGCTAGGTACCGCGTTCTCACTGGAGCGATGAGATTCGGTCTCAGGGTGAATATGGGCCTCGCGTCAGCGGGAAAGAGAAGAGTGTTTTAGGTAGGCACTAACACACACTGTTTAATTAGCCGATCTTGCTACACACGTACATGTAACGGCACTTGTTGCACTTCCCTAAAACACCTGGAAATCTCTCCAACGTTGGTGACTGGATCCCTGGCTAGTTAGTTAGCGGCTGTTTCTTTTAGCACAACCCCTAGAATTGCACTTTCACTTGTACTTTTAGCACCAAGAAAATTTCACGTTAAATTTAGAAGAGTTATCCAGAGATTGTTCCTGCAAACACTTAAACATAATTTCGGCTGTACACTTGGAGGGTTGTTCAGAGACTCCTCTCGCAGACTGACCCTGCAAACACTTAAACATAATTTCGGCTGTACACTTGGAGGGTTGTTCAGAGACTCCTCTCGCAGACTGTTCCTGCAAACACTTAAACATAATTTCGGCTGTACACTTGGAGGGTTGTTCAGAGACTCCTCTCGCAGACTGACCCTGCAAACACTTAAACATAATTTCGGCTGTACACTTGGAGGGTTGTTCAGAGACTCCTCTCGCAGACTGTTCCTGCAAACACTTAAACATAATTTCGGCTGTACACTTGGAGGGTTGTTCAGAGACTCCTCTCGCAGACTGACCCTGCAAACACTTAAACATAATTTCGGCTGTACACTTGGAGGGTTGTTCAGAGACTCCTCTCGCAGACTGTTCCTGCAAACACTTAAACATAATTTCGGCTGTACACTTGGAGGGTTGTTCAGAGACTCCTCTCGCAGACTGACCCTGCAAACACTTAAACATAATTTCGGCTGTACACTTGGAGGGTTGTTCAGAGACTCCTCTCGCAGACTGACCCTGCTTCGAAGCAAGAAATCTTCGCGGCTTCAGCTCCGCCTCCAAGTTACTACCCTAATTTCTGCTGATTGGAACAATTCGAATTTAGGGAGTTAACCATAATTCTCACTGCTCCAATCACATAACTTTAATTTGGGACTTTGGATCTAAAGTCCTAACGTCGTTTTTGACAGCACACTGACAGATAACCTGCTTGGC